TTTGAGTTTGGATGCACTTGTGGAAGGTCATTTGTAATTATCTCTGCTGCCTCAGAGTTGATTTCTTTAGCTTTATAGATCTCTGCATATTGCTTTTTTATATATTGAAGAGTGTTTAGAGAGTTGCCCTCTAGAACTCTTATTTCTGAGAGTGCTGAATGGGATTTTCTTTGTTTATATTTAGCAAAAAAGTACTTAGTTAATTTTTCTTCATGTTCAATCTATTTCACCTTAAAGAGTAGCTGCTATTTTTCTGCTAGAGTAGTGAGTTAATCTTGCAGTTAGATATTAAGTTCATCTAGGTAGGAGAATAAATTCTCACAATTTTTTCACTTAGCTTTGTTATTTCGTTATTTAGTTTTGCTATTTTGCTTTCTGGAGCTTTTGGTTTTCTGAAAGCCCTCATAATTGATTGTAAGTAGATCTTGCAAAAATCCTAATTATTAGAAGAGTTTGGTTCTTTAATTTCTTCCAAAACTTCTTTTCTTAGCAACTTGTTGTTAAACATGGAGTTAACAGATCTACATACACTCTCTTCAGACTACATTAGTTTGGAAGTAGAGTAAAACCAAAAACATGATAACAATCTCTGATACTAAGACAAACAAACTCAAAAAAGGTATCAGGACAAGGGCACTTGCCCTTGTTGCAAGAAAAAGATCTTTTTAAGAGTTTAATGAAACTGAAACTCTTAAAAAAATGTCTAAAAACAAAAAAAAAACTATGGATGGTAGCAAAGAAAATAACAACAAAGAACTTCTCCTAGAAGAAAACAACAACTCAAGTTCATCAAAAAACCTAATACAAGTAGCTTTAACTAGGATGAACAAGTAAACTAGGAAGCGGGTGAATCAAAGGAAATAACTAATACTTATGCTAATAGAAAAGAAGAAACGAAAAATACGTCAAAAGAAAAAAATCCCTACTTAGATGAAGATAACAATAACACAACAACATGTACAAATCAAGATAATAACTTAATACGTAAACTCAAAACAAGTGAACAACACAAGCTAGGTCTAAATGAAAGTTCTAATTTTTATCTATATAGTAAGCTGTAGCAGAAACAAAGGCCTTATTATTAGAGGATGTTTAGATATCTGATGTAAAAGAAATTTTAGAATTAATAGTGACAAAGTATGTCTAAGTATCATTAAAATAAAGTAAATAAATAATATTTTAAATTAAGTAAAAAAAAACAGTTAAATTCAGAATTCTGTGAATTCAAAATCTACTAAAGTAGATTTTGAATTCAAAATCAACTTAAGTTCAATAATTATTTTAAATATAAATTAGTAACATTTTGCAAGAACATAGTTTACTTTTATAAATAGCAACTTCAGATATATGAAGTTGCTAAAGTTAATATATAAGTGATTGTAGTATCAAATACATATTTTAAACTATTGTAATATTTAATACTTGTCTTTTTATTTATTTTTTAAATTCTAATTTTTTTTTTTTTTTTTTTTATGCAGTAAGCATCTTTTTTATTAAATATATTACAGGGTGAAGTTGAAAAATTTTGTAATGATATTTCTGTCTAAACTACTTCTTTTAAGAGATAGATTCTTTTCAAGGATCTTGAGAATCTTTCTAAGTTTCATTTTAGTAATTTAAGGTATGAGGTTAAAAGGAATAGTTTTCTCTCTTTATTTGGCAGAGGTATACTAGCACCATATTTTATAGATAGTATTAATATAGATTTATATAGCTACTTTGCATTTTCTTATATTTCTGATATTTGTTGCTGTAAAGATTTCTTCTATTGATATAGGTATAGATTTGTTATTAGGTTCTTTTAATATATTGTAGTTGGTCCTCCAGATTGCTTTGCTAATTTCACAGTTGAGAGCAAAGTGCTCAATAGTTTGTATAGAGCTTTAGTAGTTTGAACAGTAGCCTAGTTCTTATTAGAAGATATGTTTTAGGCAGTAGCCTAAAAGCAGTGTCTTGTAGAATAATTACCAGAATATATCTAGTTTCTGGTTTGATATAAATTTTGTTTTTATCCAAGAATTGTCATACAGATTAGTATTAGACATTTCCTGAGAAAGAGTATCTCTTCTTAAGAAGTATAATGAGAAAAGAAGCTTTGTAGCTTTTTTAACCAAAAACTTCTCTCCTGTAAAGTTGTCAATTTCAAGGTTTGTAGGAGGCCATAGCCAGTTAGTGTCTATGATAATTCTCTCTTTAAGCCTTTTCCAGGCTATTAGATAGGGTTTCCATCTTTCAGGCTATCCTTTTGTCTTTATTGTTATTTGAGAAAGAGCAGTATATACTGAGATATTCCTTATAGTATATATTTTGTTCATTATTAGGTTTCTCTCTACTTTTGCCCAAAAGTAGTCACTAGTAAGAAGTTTTATCCAAATAGAAATTAGTCTAGAGTCTAAGATATTTTTAAGAGTAAGGGCTTCTAGTCCTCCTTAGTTATACTCGAGTTGAAAGGTTGAGTATCATAGAAGGAGTCTTGATTTGCTTTTGATCTAGTTCATGATAATTTTATCAATTTCATTGAGTTGTTTTCTGCTAAGAGGAAGCAAGTAAGCTATATACCAGATTTCAGAAATTAGAAGAGATTTAGTAACTAGAATTTTGCCTCTTAGTGACAAGTTTCTCGAGGATATGTTCTCAATATTATTTTTAATTGCTTTAGTGATATTTGTCTAAAGGTCTTTTTTAGTAGAGCCTTTAAGGTCTACTTCATATTCTAGGATTTTTATGGAATCTGAGTTCTGTTAGAATGTTCCAAATTTGTTCTGGTTTTGTAGTTCTACTCAACAAACATCCTCAGTAAGAGGTACTAGTACTGATTTAGATTCATTAATTTTTGAATTTGATGCTAGCTCATACTTGTTAAGAAAAGTTAGAATAGCATTCTAATTTGAAACTGAGCTAGCTCCTAGAATAAGATTATCTACATAAGCAGCTATTTTAAAAGGAGATCCTAAGATGTTTATACCTCTAATATGTTCTTGAATAGATTGAATAAGAGGGTTGATTGCTAGGACATATAATAAAGGTGAAAGAGGGTCTCCTTGTCTAACTCCTTGTTCTACCTTAAAAGGTTCTAAAAGATTACCTAAGTCAAGAATATATGCTTGTTGAGAGGCAAAGAGTAAGATTATAATTCTGGTGAATTTGTTTTCAAAATTCATCTTGTTAAGTACTAGTTGCATAAATTGATAGCTAACTCTGTTGAATACTTTTTGTTAGTCTAAGAACAAAAGCTAGTGCTGTTTTGACTAGTCTGGCTAGTTTCTAAGTACTGTTATAATGTCTAAAGCAGCATCAGAGATAGATCTTCTAGAAACAAATACTTGTTGAGCAGGGTTAATAACTTCATTGCAGATTATGTTTAGCTGATTTGCTAATATTTTATAAAAATTTTAGTATTACTATTGACTAGAGAGATTGGCCTCTAGTTGTTTATACTCTTTAAGTTATCAGCTTTCTTTGGAATGAGTGTAATCATATTCTTACTTCAGGAGTGAGGGATATGTCCTGTTAATAGAATCCAGTTAAAGAGCTTAGTAAGAATTAGAACTAGGGCTTCCTTTAGAATTTTGTAAAATTTATATGTTAGCCCATTTGAGCTTGGTGACTTATTGTTTGGAAGCTTGTCGATTATTGCTCTAATTTCTTCTTCAGTTATCTCTTTGGTTAAGGCATTGTTTGTATTTTATGAGATTTTTGGTGTGTTGTGTAAGAGCTCCTCAGCTGCTAAGAGATTAATGCTTTCTGATTTATAAAATTTCTCATAGTAGTATTTGATATAAGATAAAGTGTTAGCAATATCTGTTGAGCTAAAATTGTTTGGATCTTTGATGTTGGAACTAACTGATGTTGCATGTCTGATTTTGTATTGAGAAAAGAAGTACTTTGTAGATTTCTCCCCTTCCTCAATTCATCTAGCATTAGATCTAATTTGCCATCTCTTTGAGAATAGTTGCAGTTCTTCTTGTAGCTGCACCTTGGTTTCTTCGAGTGCAAATTAAAGGTCTGTAAGTCTGTGATCCCTAGCTATTCGATTATTTATATTTGCTAGTCTCCTATGTAAGGTTTGAATTTTCTTTTCTGAAGAGAGGTTTTGTTTAGCTACTCTGATTATCAATTGAATCATACATTTATGTAAGTCTCACTTGTTGAGGTTTTCAATTTTTTGAAGTTCTATAAGGATTTCATCCTTAGTCTCTAAGTTTGAGAGTGAGCTAAGATTGAATCTTCATAAGATAGCATGTGTAGAGGTTGGCTTAAAGCTAATAGTGCATTCGACAAGAAGGTAATCTAAATTACCAAACTGTGTTTGTATTTCTTTGTTTAAAAAACTATGATTAGAATCTATGAAGATGTAGTCGAGCTTTGTAGCTATTTTGTGACTATTTCTGGTATTTTGATAAAAAGTTAGAAAAGAGTTGTTTGTTGAGGTTTCTACTATATCAGTGAAGTCTGTCATTAGATTCTTGACCAGTTCTCTAGAAAGATCATTTTGTATTGGAGCTTAGCTTATTCAGTCTTTTTGAGGATTTAAGTTTACATTGAAATCTTCTGTTATAAAGTTTATGTAGTTCTCATCGATTATTAGGGACTAGCTATTAAAGAAGTTAATTCTGTCTTTTAGGTTTAGAGATACATATATGTTGGTGACTAAGAAGGTATTATTTTTGTAAGTGATTTTTGCTTGAATTATTCAGTTATTGAAGGAGGTTCTTGCTTCAACAATTTTGGTTTGTTTATTACTAGCGAGAATTGCTACTTTTGAGGACTAGAAAGAGTCAAAATTCTATTGTTGAGCTAGAAAATTTCTGGAGTTCGTATCATTTAGGTTTGTTTCCTGAATTGTGATAATGTCTAAATTATATGATTTTAAAAGAATTAAGGTTTTTTGTACTTTGGCCCTGTTGTTTAGGCCTTTTACATTAAGAGTTGCAATTGTGATTTTCTTCATAATGAGATACAATTGTTTTTTGAGATGTTATTATTGAGAGTGTTATGATCTAATAAGAGGAGAAGCCAAGTCTAGTAGTAGCTGCCTCTGTTATTATAGTATTATTTTCTTGTATTTCTTTCTTATTTTTTCTTTTTCTGTTCTTCTGTGTATCAGTTGTTACAGGTTCACTTTCTGGTTCTAAAGATTCTGAATTAGAAGGTAAGGTATTTGTTTTTTGATTCAAATCTGAGGAATTATCTTTTGCTTTTTCAGCAGAATGATTTTGTTTTGAAAAGTTTTCTTCTTCAATAACTATTTCTGTTAAAGGAGTAGAGTCTTTTTCTTTTAGAATTGTAGGTTGTGAGTCAGGTTTAGCTTGAGCTTGAGTATAAGAGTTGTTGGGACTAAGTTCTAGCTAGGTTTTATGACAGATTTGATTCCTTTCTTTTTGTAGTCTTAATTCTTTTTCACAATAGTAGCATATTTTTGGGGCTTTCCTCTATTTAGTACTGACTTTGTGATCACCAACATAAGTAGTTCTTAGTAATCTTTATAGAAGATCTAGATCTTCAGTTGTTTCGAAGGAAACAATCCACTAGTCAGAGCAGACTGAAGTGCTTTCAAAGAGAAGAGGCTTAACAGAGAAGATAGTTCCAAAATCTTGGAAGGTTTCTAAAAAGAGCTTGTTGATCTGGTTTTTGTTTCCTAGTAATGTATTTCTGATCTTAACTGAGAGGAAACTTCTTTTTAGATTAATAGGAATATAACCAAAGATTATTTATTTAAAAATATTAATTCCTTCTATTGCATAATATTGCTGCTACATTTTATTTTTGAAGACTACTTCTAGGTAAGCTCTTTTTCCTCTACTAAAATGTGGTTTAGCAGCTAGAAGGTCTTTACTAAGAGAATTTGCTAAAGAGAGAATGATATCATTTGTAGATATGTTATTAAGACTTTAGATATCAAAGACTAGTACATTTTCATTTTTGGAGAAAATCTTATTTTTTAAAGTCTCTTGTTTGTATATAGCCTTGTCACCTCTGAGTTTGGTAAACAGATCTGACTAGCATTTTGGTTTGAGTTGTTCTTAGTTGTTAGCTTCTGAGTCATGTGTAATATCTGGTAGCTTAGATTTTAGTACATTTTTATCATTTGAGATAATTGGATTACTCACGTAGTTTTTGTTTATATCATGCTTCATATATTGTTTTGTTGTTTCTTTTACAGAAGAGAAGCTAGAGCTTTTGTTGCTTTTGTTTGAAGAGACTTCTGTGTAGTTAGTTTGCTTAGATTTACTCTTGTCAAAGATTTTTACTTCTACTTTGTCTGCCTAGTTGTTATTATTTTTTTGCTCTAGGTTAGAGATATTTTTGTTGCTTAGAGGGCTTAGTAGGTTTTCTTTATCTTTTTCTTTTGAGTACAAAGAGAGGTTAAAGATTTTTTTGTTGTTCGAAAACTTAGTTCTCTTGTTTTTAGAGGCATCTATAGTACTCATAAGTAGTTTTCTTTTCCTAACTTTGGGAGCTTTAGCTCTGTTAATATCTAAAAAAGGATTTTCTATCTGTTTTTTTGTTATTTTGTTATATTCGATCCCTCAACTGAGGGGAACAGAAAAGAGTTTTTGGATAATTCTAATTTTTTATTTAAATTTAAGATTAAAAATCTACTTAAGCAGATTTAGAATTCACTTAAGTGGATTTAGAATTCACTTAAGTAAATTCTGAATCTACTTAAGTAAATTCTAAATCTTAGAACTCCAAATTCATCTATAATATATTATAAGATAACATGAATTCTTGCCTTTAATTCCTATTTATCTAAACTATAAAGTGATATAATTATATCTTTAATTGCATTGGCTTTGACTAACTGCATAGTTGGGTTCAAATATTGTACAATTTCTATCAACTCAGAGTCTTCGATTATTGTAAATTGGCGTTGATAGTTGATAGTCTAGGTGGCAAATATATTGCGAAGTTTCATATTATCAATATCAGCGAATAACATAGTGAAGGTTTCTTGAGGATTCTAAAATAAAATTTTTAAATTAGTTTATATTTGAGAATTAAGTAAGAAATTTAAATTATTATAGTTCTAGAAGTTTTGGGACATGATACTATTAAACATAATACCTGTGCCAAGCACAGGCACTATGTTTAATAGTATCATGTCTAACACTTCCAGAACCCTAAACTCACCCTTTTGAATGCTTCCTCAATATTATCATATTTATCTTGTGTTTTTTTTTTTTGATATTCTGCTATTTTGGCATACTGCATCTGGTGAAAACTCTTCAAATAGTACTACAAGGGTTTGGTTGTTCCTCCCTTCCTACAAGAAAACTCTTTGTATTGATACTTTGATACTATATATTTGGCTGTTTTTCGTTCTTTTTTCTATTCAAGTTTTTTAAAAAAATCCTATACCTCATTAACATTACTTCACTTGCTAATAGTATTAACATTATCATTATTATTATCATGATCATCATCATGATCATTATCATTATCATTATAGTGATTGTTATTGTAGTTGTTATTATGGTCATTATCATAGTTATTATCGTAATTATTATTTTGGTTATTATCATAGTCGTTATTGTAGTTGTTATATTGGTCATTATCAAATTCCTCCAAATACACGAACAAAAAACTCATTTTTATTTTAAAAATAATTTTTGTATCATCATAGTAATAATTTTTGTATTATCATAGTTAATAATCTTATCTTATATATATGCTACAGCTGATAGACTTTTAAATTAGTATTAGACTATGCATAATTTGTCATACAAGCAAAGTTTATAAGTTAGATTTATATTTTTTTTTTTTTTTTTTTTCAGCAATCATGCTAATACTTTATTTAATCAAATTTTGTCTATGACTAAAAACTCTATTTAGTATATTCTACTATCTAGTGATTAATTCTAAGTATTAACTCACTCAGTTACTACTTTAGTACCTAAGTACGATCTGCTATAGTGAC